ATAAAAATTGGATATCACCCCATCATTTTGGGGGTGAAACCCATTTTTAAGGGAATTTTGAGGGTTCAGGTGTAGGTACGAAGTTTCTAAATGGGGGACCCCTTGGTGGACATGAGAATTCGCTGGGGAATCCGATGTCCACCAACCGCTTTTGCGGTTCGTTATTAAATGAAGCCATGTGCAAAAACTAAAAATGGGAAGGCCTCCTCTGGGTTCGGCAGAAAGGTCATGGAGGACTTGCGGCGAAGAGGTGGATCCAATTTGGGGCAGTTCCGCAAGAAAGTCCAAAGCCAGTGTTTTTTTTTAGGATGCCTTGGTTGAGACCCTTGGCTTGATTCCTTGCGCTAAGCCGTTCCTAGGCCACGCACGTTAGTGGACAAGGCGTATTTGGTCCTTTTGCTAAGCCTCTCGGAGCCTCAAGTTTCACCAACCCGGAGGGGTCGAAAGCTGAGCGGCTGCGTCGAATTGAGGGTTCCATTGAAGCAACGGGCCCCGGCCTGGTTTCTCGCGGCTTTGGGCCAAAAATTCGGTGCCCTGACCTGGAACGCCTCCGAACACCAGCTCCAAGCGGTTTGAACCTAGGTTGGGTTTTGGCGCAACCCAAGTTTCGGGGGGCGTGGGGGGGAATGGACCTCACGGACCTCATTGCCGGAAAACGGATTCGCCACGGGTGCGGCACGGAATGCGGATTCCTCGCGAGGCATTGTTCATCGGGACCTGAAACTGGAGAACTTCCTGCCTTTCGGCGATTGAGATGGGAGGTCTCGACAGGGAACCCTTTGGAAAGCTGGGAGATGTGTGCCAAGAACCATTGCCAGCAAGGCTGAGAACTTCTTAACTGTTTTGCCTTTTTATTTTTGGTGTTCCTTCCTTTCCATTTTCCCCTTCAACCAGGATGTTGCGGGTCGAAGTCTGGGCCAGGTTTGGAGGGTGTCGCGTTCCAGCAAAGTGGGGTGTTGGGCTTTCAACAGCATGATCTTTTACAGTGATCCTGACAGTTCCTGCGAGGTCCCACGTTCATTGGCAGCTCCTGGCGGTTCGGTGGGTCTCTCTTTGGATTTGTGGCGCTATGGGCCACAATGAAGCATATATTATGTTTTGGGTTGCGCAAAAGCTGAGGTCGAGTTGGAGACCCAAGGGAAAGCACAAGAAAGACGTTGGGTTTGCCTCAAGGGGGGACGGGTTCCCTAAACAGGTCCCCTTCAAAAAGAAGCCGTTCAAAAAATGCCTCAAACAATGTGCAGGCACGCCCCGTTTCGGCGCGGGAAAGCCCTTCCAGGCATGTTCTCCTGAACCCACCTCAGGGAACTCGGGGAAACGGTGTCAAAAGAACGTGTGGCGTATCTTGTTTTAGGAATCGGACCGCGACCCACAAATGGCGCTGTCGGCGTTGGCTTTGATTTCCCCAAAATCAAAGCCAACCAAAGAGGGTTCACTGCAAAACGACAGCAGCTGAAGAGACTGGTTGCAATCAACTGGGAAAATGTTCGATCTCACTTGAACGGGCCCAGAAGGAGGGTGTAGCACTGGCGGAGGGTCTCTTTTGCACCCACCTTTCTGGGGGATCTTGTTGATCTCACTTTACAGGAAGAAGAGCTCATCAGCTCTCCAGCCTTCGGTGATGTTTCGGACGCGTATGCCCAAAGCGAAGATCACTCCCTGAGATCCGCTTCGAACTTTACAAACTGCCTGGATCGCCAGTTGCCTTCGCTTTTTTCCATGCACTTTACCCCAAAAACAAGCAGCAGTGACTGAAAAAAGCGGCAACTTGGCTATTTAGGTGCTTAGGTTTGGTTACCCGTTTCGGTCGCAAACAAAAAGTTCCGACTTGTTTTGGTTAGTTTACTTGCGAAGTGAGAAAAAGAAAGGTTGGTGGACATCGATCAGCAAATGATGCTCACCGAACCATACACCCACCATATGCCACCCTACATCCAGCATTGTGCAACCATGTCCCCTTCTTGTATTCTGTGGCGTGCGGGTTCGACCATCCTAGATTCAAGCGAGCCCCTCACAAAAACATACAAGCCTATGTCAATGGGGTTGGGGGAGCGCTTCAAACCCGATCAAATCATGATGATAGCAGAGGGCTTGGTGCACGGGACCGCTTTCCAAAGGGTTGGTTTCGTCCTCAAGGAATCCAGGTGAACCAATCCATGAGAGGGGAGGGTAGCCTGCCTTCTCATGTTCTCACATGTGCCCTGGTCATTTTACTTGTGACTTGCAGGAATGGTCAACTGATGAGAGAGAGATCGAGAGCGCAATCTAGCAAATAGTCAAACTTCAGCAACACGGAGTCTTGATCATGACGGCTTTCCCAGATTACCTTTAGTTCACCGGGGTGAGGAAGGCTTCAATATATCTGAAGCGCATAAGCAAGAGCCATCAGCCGTCACCAACTTGAGAAACGCGTCAGATGTTGCTTTTTTGTCATGGGATAACCCGACCTCCCCTAACTTGCTGGTTTCCTCGACATGTTGGCAAGCACCGTAGGGTATTTGGGGAAAACAGCTAGCAAGGGAGGGAGAAACGGCATTCGATTTCTGGCCGGAAGCACAAAACATGCGCGAAGCAAAGGAGGGTTCCCTACTAAAATAGACAAAGCAGAAAAATAAGCGGTACCAACTTCTTCTAACCTCTCAAATCTGGAGGACCTAGATATGCGCATGAGGTACGAGTCCAAGACGAGCAACCATTTGAAGCTCATCGACTTCGGATTCAGCAAAGTGCCGCTCGCCTGCGCTCGTGGGCGCTCAAAGCGCGCGCGGAGGGGCACATTCCGTCGCATGGCAGCCAAAGAAAGGGGGTTTCATCACTGGCCCCATTTTCTTTGGTGCATTTTGCCAAGGGATGTTAGGAGTTGTTTCCTTTTGCCAACTAATATAATGGGTTTTCCATCCAACCACTAAAAGTTAAACTTTTAGCAGGGGAGCAGAAAGCAACCGAGTTTTCACCCATCCTCTTGGACCATGTGTTTGCAATTGGAATGGGTGAACTGTATGCCTGGCAACTACCAACTGCTGGTGGTACGTGGATTTCGTCCACCCCTCGCGCGGATATGGGCAAATCACGCGGTCCGGAGGGGAATGCGATGTCAGATGGGCAACCCCTGAAGCAAAAAGGCATGTCTTCACAAAACAAATCTGCTGCATTACAATCTCGTCACAAGGCCCACAAGGCAAGCAACATAGATCCGCCACTCATCTCCGATTTCCCTTCAACTGCCAAAAGCAGAACAAGGTGTCCTCCGAAAGCAAGATCAAATTCCACCACTGGTCCTGTGTCGCTATGTTTCTTGAAAAAAGATAGCTCATCCCCCGGGCCGATGAATCAAAAGCTGCTGGTTCTTTTTTGGTTTCTCCGCCACGGCGGTGGAAACGGCCTACGATCGACCCCCACGTGTTTTGTTTTGTTTTTGTTCCCGGTCCTCCCCTCAAAACCGCTCACCGGCCGATCACCGGCGCCAAAACGGGCATCTCCGATGGCGAGCAAGCCGCACGAGGTGGGATCCCAACATCAAGATGCACGTGAGCTGCGGCACCTTGGCCTATGTGGCCCCAGAGGCGCGGCCAAAGACGAAGCACACGCTGGTCGGAGACGAGAGGATGGGTGGCTGTTGTTGATTTTGTTTGTTGGCTGGTTTGTTAGTTGGCTTCTCTTTGTTTGAGTGTTGTTCGCTTCTTCTTTTGTTTGATTGTGTTTGTCCCTTTGTTGCTTATTTGTTTGTTTGCTGGTTTTGTGTAATTATTTTTCGAAAAGGAGACCTGAGCTCAGGAAAGCCCACGGTTTGGTTTTGACTGGATGGTTGTTTCGCTTTCGGAAAGGAGACCTCACCTAGCCTTATGGTTTGGATTTGAAGCCCGTGGGATGCTTGAAACCATCCTGGAACAGCTGCAAGCTCCCAACTCTGCTTCGAAGCTCACAGGAACTCACCAAAGTGACTTTGGCCCTTTTGGACACCGAGGGAAATGGCACAAGTCTAGCTCAGAGCTTCAACGGGAAACAACTCCCCGGTCTTTGACCTACCAAAGGCCAGGCCCCAGTTCAGATAAAATCCCCTCAACCGACCAATTCACATAATATGTTTTCATCATTTCATAACAGAACCTCAACTCAAGATTTGATACATAAATTTTACAAATATTTTTCTAAATTTTCAAAAATATATTTTTCCAAAATCCCAAATTCCCAAAATATATTTTTCCAAAATCCTAAAATATAAAATCCCCTCAACCGACCAATTCACATAATATTTTTTCATCATTTCATAACAGAACCTCAACTCAAGATTTGATACATAAATTTTACAAATATTTTTCTAAATTTTCAAAAATATATTTTTCCAAAATCCCAAATTCCCAAATCCCAAAATCCCAAATTCCCAAAATATATTTTTCCAAAATCCCAAATCCCAAAATCCCCATAATTTCAAAACATAAATCTTACAATGTTTTTTATTGTAAGGTTTATGGTGTAATTTCAACTCATATTGTTTCAATATCAACAGGTGTTTCTTCAATAATAGTCGGTGTTTCCTTTTGCTTCTGATTGTTATTATGCTTCTGAGTTTTTTTATGTTCCGACCATCTACATTTTTTAACTTTGCACTGACAAATATCACAAAATACTTCAATTTGACTATAGACTTTGCTGTATTCTTTCATTCTGGCGTTTATTTCTTCCTTATGTGCTTCACGGTATTTTTTGCTTTGCTGATGTTTTTGTTCCTTATTCTTCTGGTGTTTTTCCCTTTCCTTTTCCAAGCACCTTATACAATATTTATTTATTCCGTTGAATTCTTCAACTGGTTTAGTTGCATTACATCTTTTGCAATACTGCTTCTCCATAATTTACTAAGGTAATTTACCTTTAAACCTGTATCATACCCTAAATCCCAAAATCCCAAATCCCAAAATCCCCATAATTTCAAAACATAAATCTTACAATGTTTTTTATTGTAAGGTTTATGGTGTAATTTACTAGTCATGAACCCTGCCCGCCATTTTTGGGCACCCTGCCCTCCTGCCCGCCATTTTTGGGCACCCTGCCCGCCATTTTTGGGCACCCTGCCCGCCATTCTTGGGCACCCTGCCCGCCATTTTTGGGCACCCTGCCCGCCATTCTTGGGCACCCTGCCCGCCATTTTTGGGCACCCTGCCCGCCATTCTTGGGCACCCTGCCCGCCATTTTTGGGCACCCTGCCCGCCATTCTTGGGCACCCTGCCCGCCATTTTTGGGCACCCTGCCCGCCATTCTTGGGCACCCTGCCCGCCAGCCCGCCATTTTTGGGCACCCTGCCCGCCTGCCCGCCATTTTTGGGCGCCCTGCCCGCCTGCCCGCCATTTTTGGGCACCCTGCCCGCCTGCATTATTGTAATGTGATTTTTAGTGTTGTCGTTGGATGAACCTAGAAATTCCAAGTTTGAACTCCAACCCCAACTCAAATTCCTTAATCCGTCAAACTCGTCAAAATCTCACAAATCAATTCAGCAGGTATTTTGTATAAATCTTCCTGCTTATGTATTACATAATTATCCCCCCATTCTGCTTTAGTTTTTGATGGCAGTCGTTGCGCAGTTTCAATATGTTTATTATTCCTTATTTTTCCACAATCTCTATTACATAAATCTCTAGGTGTCCAATTCGTAATGTTATTCCAAAGTCTAGTGCGTTTTCTGTAATTAAATCCATATTTGCAATAATCAACATCTTTAAAATCAAACTCATTCATAAACTCCTGATTTTTTAATAATCCAGTTTGAGGATTTTCGATTACAAAATATTTAGGATTAACATATTTGATAATCTCAATAGTTTTTAAAACTATACTATTAGCATATTCAATATTCCTAATTCCCTTAGTTTTTGCTACACTATATTCAGTGCACGGGGGACTGCTCCAAATAAAATCAAAATGGTTTCTGTCAAATTGTTTATAATCCCATTCCAAAATATCACAATTAATATCAGCATTTTTCAAGTCTAATGAGATGACATTATAACCGAGTGACTTTGCTATGGTTCCTACACTTCCAGTTCCACTAAATAATTCTAATAAATTCATATTGTTTATTAGAATGATTTAGATAATGCTTTAGAAATATACATATTTATCATCTTCCTTAATAATCTTATAGTATTCTAATGTTTGTTCTTTTGGACTTTTGATTTGTCCCTTATTTAACATATCACAATATTTTTTACGCTTCGTGTCATAATCACCGCTGGGTCTGCCTATCCCTTTCTTTTCAAAGATTTTGTCAATCTTTTCCTTCTCTTCATTGTTATCTTTTGGTTCGTTTGCCTTTGCATCAAGTTTCTGGTCAATAGTTTTTTATCATCTCATACAACAGTTTAACATTTTTACTAACTGTCATTATTTTCTTTGATAGTTCAGAAATAGAATCATTCTCAACTTCAGACATTTCTATATATATTTATTTATATAATTATTTATTTAAATATTTAATTATTTATAAAATTGATTTAATGTAAAATCTACTCTTTAAGTACTAAATTTTCATCATTTGTTTAATAGTTTCCTGTGCTTCGTTATCACCATTATCGGATGGTGACGCATGCCTTCCCCATTTAAAAGTTATATTATGGACATCAGTTTCTAAGTTGATACTGTCTTTAGTTTTATCAATATTCATTTTCTTATCGTTTTTACTCAATTTGAAATTTGTCGGAATACACGAACATTTACAATTTCCTTTCTTTTGAATTTCTAATTCGTTCTTCATTGCTAACATCTTTCTACACATAGGACACTCAAACTCAATAACTGATGTTTCTTTAACAATTTCTTCTTCTTTGTCTTCATCTGTTGAAGAAACTGTAGTATCTGTTTTATTCTTTTTGTTTTTCTTTTTTCCCATTTATATTAATATTTACATTTTTATTTTTGATATATTGTATTCCTAATTTTATTAATTCTAATGTATAAAAGCATACTTTCTTACATCTGTTGTCAGTTATTATTACTTGTTCTATATTCTCTACATCATCTATTATATCAATATAATCTGAATAACTTCTATCCATATTAAATAATAAGATGAAATAATCATTAAAAATAATTATTTGATCTTATTATTTTCATGCATAATAGAATATTGGTGGGGCACAGCACTTGGGTTTTCATTGCACACGCGAGCAAGACACAAAACTAATTATCTTCAATGCTTATTGATTGAAGCAATGGAAACCTGTTCCGTTTTTATGATATTCACTACCAGCATATCATAAAAAAAGATGTTCCATTCAATAATAATTACAAGTTAATTTTTAAATATAATTTTCTATATATGTTTAATATCAATTATGACAAACGTTCCAATAATAAAACCAATAAATATAACTGATTACGATTTCAAACAATCTAAATATGAACATGTGCCAAAACTACCTTTTCGCTCAATTGTTGTTGCTTCATCAACGGGTGGCAAAACAGTTTTAATTCAAAACCTTATCCTAAATGTTTATAGGGACTGCTTCGACCGTATATTCATTTTTAGCCCGTCGGTTCATAATGACCCTACCTTCGTTGAAGTCAAGAAATATCAAAAAGATAATATGAAGGTTGATGATGAAAAAGAAAAGTTATATTATGACACATACCAACCTGAAGAACTGGAAGAAATAATTAACACACAAAGAAAGATTATTCATTATATGAAAGAACAGAAAATGAAGAAATTACACTCAATACTGATTATTGTTGATGACTTCGCAGATGACCCTAAATTCGTTAGATACAGTAAGTTACTTCATGGACTGGCAACGAGAGGCAGGCACGACGCCATTAGTTTTTGTTTAAGCGTTCAAAAATATCGTGTCCTAGCACCAATCATTAGGTTGAATTCTAGTTCGTTGTATATCTTTAAGTTAAAGAATGTATCAGAGTTAATGTCATTCATTGAGGAAAACTCCGCCATCGTTGATAAAGAGCAACTGTTAAATATGTATCATAAAGCGGTAGACTTCAAGCCATACTCTTTCTTTTATGTCAATATGAATTCTAAAAATGTAGATGAAATGTTCTATATAAATTTTGAAAAATCGTTTAAAGTGTCAAAATAAAAGCGTTATAAAGCTTAGACACTATAAGACTTTATAGGACAAATGCCACGAACAAACATTGACTACTCTAATACAGTGATATATAAGTTGGTATGTAATGACTTAAATGTGAAAGATTGCTATGTTGGACACACTACAAACTTCAAAAACCGTAAGCACAATCATAAAAACACGTGTAATAATCCAAATGTTGAATGTCATAATATGCCTGTCTATAAGTGTATTCGTAGTAATGGTGGATGGAATAATTGGAATATGATATTAGTTGAACAGTTTGAATGCTCTAACAAAATGGAAGCTGAACAAAAAGAAAGAGAAATTATTGAACAACTAAAACCAACCCTGAATAAGTCTTCACCATATAGAACACCAGAGGAAAGGAAACAATATAAACAACAATGGCATAATGAACACCGCGAACAAGACCTTGAACGAAGTAGAAACTGGTATTTAACAAATAAAGACGTTTTAAATGAACA